TTTACTATAGTTTTTGTTTTATTAAAGCTACCAATATAAAGCATTATTTCACCTAAGATTCTTTATAAGTGACATTAATTTTATATAAGCTATTGATTTTGTTAAAAATAAAGCCAAGAAGTTCTCCTCCTACAAACCAGTATGCGGTATCAGCAGGAGAAATGCAGCATAAGAACATAATTCAGCCTCATCTTTAACCCACCATGCAAAAATGCTCCAGTCGAATTCCATATACTATTTGTAAGGCTCTCATGTAGATCATGTGCAAGACTTCAGGCTACAACAGAAAAACACCTTTTAATACTGATTCATGATGCTAAAGCTGTATCACTACCATCATTACCATGCAAAACTGTAGTCAATGGACGCAAAAAAGAAAAAAGCGACATTTCCCTACTTCCCTTGAAATATTTCTTAGTTTTTCCAAATTTCAAAACATCTGTATACTTATCAGTTGGCTTGTATTTATTAAGTGGTCAAAAAGATCGGTTGCTCAAGCTTATTACACACAGAATGAGAGCAAGGCCATCCGAATCCAACCCACAGTACGGAATGGAGAAAAAGGGTTAGTCTTTCAACACAGACTGTCAGGCATATGACAAAAATAATGGCACACCGAGGATGTATTTTTTTTTTTAAAGACCATGGGAAATCTTATTTGATGCCTCAGATGTTAAAGTTTAAGTAAACACTACAATCAGGGGAATATGAATTTAATAGGGCAGTATATGATTTCTCAGTTTTATCTTTTAAATCAGCAGTTTCCAAATGCTGGCCTGTAGAATGCATTTTGATCCACATATTAGTTTATTTATTCTGAGATGATTCTTTCCATTTTGAAGAGTTAAAGGGGCACTGAGACACAAAGTTTGAGTTCTACATAATTAAACCAGGTTTTATTATGTTATCATGTCAAGACCAACACAGGAAACTGGAAGGAGACTTTGGGATTTTCTGTGACACATAAATAGTTCATTTTTGCATTTAATAACTAAAGAAATAAAGAACAACATCTGTCAAAACAAGTCAATTTCCCCTTGGGGCATAATGCAAGAAAATTAATCTGTAAGCTTCCAAAGAGAATTGTTTCTAAGCACTTTTTGTGGTTGGAAACCACTTGGAATAGGTCCCTTTAAGCCCTACCAATAAAGGATACCCTCAAACCACCACTCCAATAATAATAAAAAATTTAATATATTTTAATATGTCTATGGTTAGAAACTTTTTTTAAAGAAAATGATCATATTAAAAAACTGAATTCCTAATGGAAATGTACAAGTCCCCTCACATATAAACTTAATATTATCTTAAAATTACATTGGTTGAGAGATTTTCTCTGGATTAAAATGACCAGTTTACAGCAAATAATAGGGTATATGCCTTTCTCCACACTCTACAAAACTGCTGTTTAATGTGTTTTCAAATGTCATCTTTCACATGCAAACACAGTCACATTTTACCTTTGGATTTGGATGAAGATCATTCTTGGAGAGATTTTTACCATCAGATCCTGTTAAGATTTTGTTGCGAACATGAATCACAATCTCAGCTACATTGTATCTTGGGAAAGACAAAGTTTCCATCTTGGGAATCTTCTAGTCTGAAGCAAGAAAAAAAAAAAACAAAGATCAGAAACATGACACAACCAGCAGTTCTCAGTATCTGGAAGCTGATAAATACAAGGGTAACATTAACAAGCCAAGGTTGAACTATACATAGAAGTGTTAACTATCACTAAGCATCTAGTAAGATGATACAAATTCATATACATATGTGTGTACATACATATATCCTAAAATAACTGTCATCCTGAAGTGACTCAATCATTTTCTAATTTTCCTAATGCTGTTTTCTTTTATACAGGAAAGAGGATTTGGGTTGAATTAACAGATGAAAAACCGTGTTTTCCTTTTTTAACTTGGGAGGTAATGGATTTAACAAGATTGATCCTGAAATTAATCTCAAAGCAAGATACAAAGGCATTAGCAGAAGCTACATGTCAACAATGGCAACACAGGGTAGACAATAAAACTATGCTCTTGATCTGACATCCTAGTCAGTGCACACACAGTGAGAAGACTGGTAAGATTTAGATGCAAGTAGGAAGAGAGAAAAGCCATAGATAAAAACAGACTGGGGTAATTGGCAGGAATTCTAATCACCAGCGTGAGAACTTAAAAAAAAAAAACCTTCTCCTAATGTCCTCAGATAGTGAGATATTCCCATCTGTGTCCCCCTCAAGCAGTTTTCACAGATTTGCCCTCCCACCTCACCCAGGGGCCATGCGGCAATGTCTGGAGGCATCCTTGGTTGTCAGGACTGGAGTGGGGGTGCTACCGTGATCTAGTGGGTAGAGGTCCAGCATGCCGCTCAATGAACTACAATGCTTGGGCACCCCCCAGCACACAATCACCCAATGTCACCAGTGCTCAGGTTAGGAAACCCTGCCCTAGAGCCCTGTATTTACTCTTGTAATACTTGCCACCGTGTATTGTAATTATGTTACAGGGCTGACACTACACTGGGAGCTCCCAGGAAGGGAGCTCTTCATTCTCTTCGTATTTCCAGCTGCGCCAAGCAGAATAGCAATAGTAACAGTAAGTGTGGCAGCAATAGCAGCCAGTGCCTCCACCACTCAGTTAGCAGTACCTGTTTTATTACTTCTGGATCCCCTATTCTCTAGGGCAGCAGTGTGGTCCCAGAGTTCCAATGTGAATATATTCAATTTTGCAAACAAACTGAAAGGACCCACAAACGTGGAAATCCATTTCTTGAGGCTTCTAATGTTTCTTAGAATCTTAGCGATAAAAGAGAAGCTTTGGCAATTTGCCTAACCTCTGACAAAGGTAGGGAAGCCATTCTAAAAGGTGACCTACAACTCCCACTTCTGCTTGAACACTTGCAAACATCACAAAATTCACTAACTCTTCAGGAAATTTTTTTCCCACTTTAGTGTGGCTCTAATAATTAGATAACTTTTCCTCATACTGTGTAGAAATCCTTTCATTGTAACTTTGACCTACTGGTTCTATTCTAGTGAATGCAACGACTAAGTATATAAATTTCTGTTTACATGAGACCACTTTAAAAAAATGTGAAGCAAGCTATCATACCTCTGCTTAGTCTTTTCTTCTCTAAGTATAATTTAAGTATAGCGACTCCTTATATGTCTTTGTTTTAGAAACTTAACCATTATACTCACCTTCCTTGAAAATACACCATTTTGTCAATGTCTTTTTAAAATGTAATGCTCAAACTGGACACAATACTCCAGATAACGGTTTGCCAGGGCAGAGTATTTATAGAGAAGACAAAGGCCACTTCTGATCTAGTCTACAACCATAGCACTTACACACATGCACACACACAACCAACTAAAACTCCCAGAACTTCTTCAGTGCAACCCACTTTATATCAAGCCTAGACTTCTCCATGTTCTTCTTACATAACTGGTTATTTGAACCGTATGCAAGGATTTGCATTTCCCATTATTGAATTTTATAATTTCAAGCTTTCATTCTGTAAGCAGCTTTTTGACTCCAGATTCTGACACCTCACATATCAGATGTCCTTTTCAGCATAAATATGCATTCTATATTTTCATCTAAGTAACAGACTTAAAAATCACTGATAAAAAGACTTGGCCAAAGAAAGCCTGCCAAAAAAGTCACTTTTCTGAAACAGCTACACCTGAATCGGAGACTATCAAAATAGACAAAGGGATGTAAAGAATCTTCATAATTACTAGCGAACATCGCTCTCCTCTAATCAGATTAATCCTCATCAAGCACCAAATGCATCATGTAACTCCTTAACAAAAACACTTCAAATACACTACCCGCCACATCAAATTCAAATTTTTCTGATTTCTAAAGTCTTCCACAATTTAGCAATCCAAAGAATTTTTTGTTTCAAATTAGTCTCCTACAAGTCGCTTCCCAAACTTTCAACACTTCCTTTTGGAATCACCTCCCATATACAGAATCTGTCTCTGATATTACAATTTCAATACCAATTTTTTGAAGGGGAGGGCGGATGGGGAGGGAAGGCCTTCCAACTACACAGTTTGAGCTTTTTGGTGGAATAAAGTATATAAATCACCTAATATGTGTAAAGTGACCCTCAGACCGCCTATTACCTAGCAGAAATTAACGAATTACCCCTCCGGTTTCTCACTTATTTGCGACGCCATAACGCTGAGCAGGGTAGGCGCTAAAAGAATACCTGTTAAGCATTACACACTTCGTTTTGGTAAAGAATAAACTAGTTCGTTGAAATCACATTCCAGGGGGTAGAGACCAAACAAAAACAAACAGAAATGACTCCAACCTTAATAAATTAAGAAGTTTCTTTAACTCATTCAAGAAAAATGCACGGTGTCAGGCGAGCAGAGGACCGTCCTATACCGCCCTCTTTCTTTGACTTTTGGATGCAGTGCGATATTTTTGCCTTTTGACTCTTGTTGGTTTTGGCTTTTGGTCTGAGCAACCGACATTTGTAGGGCTGAGCATCAGCAAATCCCGCTACCTTCTAAACACATGGGTTAGAATTGTAAATACGAGCCTAAATTAAGCAGCCTCAGCCCTCACTGGTTTCGTAGGAGCTGAACCCGGTTGTTTCTGGGGCTAAAATCAAACAGGAAGGACGGGTGAGCGCGTCCGCCCCTCCCGGGGGCGGCTTCTCCCGTCTCCCCTCCGCCCTGCGCGCCCCCAAACCGCCGCCCGCGGCCTCCGAGGGACAGGGCGCCCTCGGCGTCCCTCCTCCGCGCCCCGTGTCCGTTCACGTCCGCTCACCGCCCACTGGCGCTCCGGGAGCCGCTACACAAGGACCAACCCCGCAGCAGCGACCGTTGCCTGTTTTCAAACCTGCCGCCCCGACTGGAAGTCCCGCCCCGCTCCGCCAGGCCACTTCCGGCGCTCCGCAGCGCCGGGTGCCGGCTGGGCTCAATAGACTCGAGCGGGTGGGGCTTGAGTTGCGCAGGAAGTCGCCCGGCCCCCCGCGGAACCATGGTTCGCGGAGTTGGCGACTCGCCGGACCTGGGTTCCGCCGGAAGGGGGAGCCCGGAGCCTGGGCGTTCGACGGGAGGTGAAGAGCGAGGGCGAGTGGACGGTCACCGGAGGCTTGGCTAAGCCCAGGGGGCCGAGGGAGAGGACCCGGGGCTCTCGTTGGGGCAGGGTAAGTCAGAGAGCCCCAGACTCATACAAACAGTAGCGACATTTTCTGAGCGTTGGTGTGAGCCGCGGTTTCCTGTGTTAGATGCGTGGAGGCGTTACCTCATTTAGGGCGATGGCACACGGTCATGGAATCAGGGCTGCAAATCAAGGTCCTCGTGCACTGGCCCGAGGATGCCCGCACTAGTTCACAAGTAGCAAGACCAGTATGAACGCAAATCTCCCGATTCTGCGTTGGTGAGCACGACTTCCAGAGGTGGAAGGAACCTAAAGGTTCATCCGGGCAAAGTGAAATACCTTGCAAATGGTCAGTGCTCAACAAAACGTCTGAACTGTTGTTAAAAGAGTCGAAACACTGCAGTGCGGTATGTGGTGGGAACTTGATAATGGGGGGACTCTAGTAACCACAATGTTGCTCATGTGATTGTATATCAATGATACCAAAATAAATAAATAAATATGTATATGTATATTTAAGCCGAAACAAGAAAAGTGACCTATGTGTAAGCCAAAAGTAGGAAGAGCCATATGGGAAGAAAAAAAATGAGGTGACAGAAGAGCAGGACAACTGTATCTACAAATAATAATTGTTTATATGGGGGATAGTTTTACTATAGATATGGCAAATTGGTAGTTCTTTTAGAATTTAAAGTATTTATGAACAAAGCTAGTGGGTATTCATATCCCAGTTGTAAGGATAAATTCTAATGTTTTCAAAATTCAGTTGCCTGTTGCTGGGCAATGTGAGATGGAAGGCAGAAGAGCAGAAATCTCAAGCTAGACTTTCTAAAGTTTTGTGATCATCCATAAAGACACTTAACTACAGCAGAAAATGAAACTCCAGTATTATTCATCACTGTAGCATCTTATTGTTCTGCACCTGTATACCCTCAGGAGCTCTGTATGCACTCTTCTATTTCATTTTCCCTGTCAGCCCTCCTGTCATTACCTCCCTTCCCAATCTAGACTGCATCATTTGTCAAGTATACAAACTTTCTGTGTCCAATGCCTTTGACCCAGGTGCCTGTCAGAACTTTAAGCCTGAATGTATTCCATAAATCCCCAGCTGGGGACCCTGGAGAAAATAATACCAAAAACATACGACAGGTTCTTGGTCTCCAGCCTCAGCTCACCCCGCGGTTCTTTACAGTCCTTTCATTATTTTTGGCAGTTCCCAGTCTTGTAACTTTCAGTGATTTCTCAACACACTACCATTTTCTTCAACCCCCTTCCCAACCTCCACTCTTTATTAGAAGGTGACCAGAGTGGTCTAATAGGTATTTTTCAAGCACTTAACACACATTCACATGCATCTGCAATTTTTATACCTGTTCCTTTTCTAATTCTAATTCCATGTTCCCATTCTAGATTGCACTAAAGAGGCTGGCTGACAAACCTCTAAGGACTGAGCATACTTTTTGAGTGACAAGATAGGGATGCTCAATGAGACCGTGGCAGGCTGCAGCTGGGACTTTATCTTTAATGCAGGTGCTATTTCTGTAGTAGCTAGTACTTTTGGCTAAAATAAACAAATCTCTTCTTTAAGTGACAGTGGTTCCAAATTGTATCTGCTTTGTTTTTAGCAGATCAGTAATGATGAACACTTGATTCACTTTGTCTAGGGTGGTAGAAATAGATAAAAGTTTACAACTGGGCCCTACTTACTCCCTTCTTGCCTTCAGGCGTTCATTCATTTGAATGGAGATTCCCTGGGGGACACAGACATTTCCAGTAACCTTGTTCCCAGCTAGTTGAGAAATCCAAGCCATCATGCAATATATAGTTAACTTTCTGCTTCCCGATTTCCCTCACTGACACATTTATCCACCTCTCTCTTACTTAGTTTGGAAGATGGAATGAACCTGCTCTCCCTCTGTTATTGATGAATGCTTCTTTATTCAGACTTCTCAGCTACATCTAATAGCATTGCTCAGACCCTCCTTGAAACCTACGTCTCTCCCGCTACTCTCCTCTCAGGCTTCTTAGATGGCTATTTACCTGCCTGCCCTTTAAGTAGCGTTAAGTTGCAACCTTATTTTTTTGTCTGTATCTTGGGAGTGGCTTCCACTCTCATTGTTTCAATGTGTTTGCTCACACATCCAAAACTACTGCTATACCTGACTCCTCCCTTGAGATTCAGACTTTTATTTCTGTTGGTTTGCACCCTCCATGGGAGCTTCCTAAGCTTTCTAAAACTGGTGCCATACGGGGCGGTGGGGGGGCAGAATAAACTCAAAAAGAGGCAGGCCACTCCAGATTGGTAGGTGGCAGCTTTTATAAGCAAGGGAACTTAGGTATGAGGCTTGTCTTGGGTGGCCACAAGATGAGTAGCTCTCTGTATCCGCCCACCACATCTTAAAAGTTTATATAGAGGCCTTAAGTGGGTTCAGTCACCAACACCATCCAGATGGTCCAGACTGTCTCAACACCAGGTCGCTATCTCAAGGCTGTGTCCTTGGGCCAGCCCCTGGGAGTCAGGCAGGATGCACATTCCAAGACTGGGGGAGGGGTCAGGAGCCTCTGATCGCCTGGGACCGGCTCATGCATCAACTGGCAGTCCTGTCCTCTCGATGACCTCCTCTAACGATTTCCTTTCCCTCTAGATAGATCTACTTGGAGGGCCCATGAGCCATTCAAACTCTAATTTATCCTGCCTTTCATTTCAGCTACCAGTCTATCACTGCTGCCTCCAGCCTTACCACCCCTGCCTACACCCCAAATTAATCTTGTGACTAATAGCCAGAAAGGTCAGTCTCAAATGGAAGTCTGACAGTTTCACCTGTCTGCTTAAATTTCTATGACCCCCCCCCACCATCACCTCCGAACTTAAGTCCAGCTCCATAGCCTGACATTCTAGGACCTCCGTGATCTTGCCACTGTTTGTGTTTCCAAGCTCATCTCTCATCACACCCACATCCCATTTATGTGGCTGTTTTATACTTTGTAGTTTTTTTTCTTTTCCTAGTTGCCTCTGTCTGGACTGTCCTGGTTTTCTCTGCCTGACTCTTATCTTCACTTATTTTTCCAAGAAGACCTTCCCTAGTCCACAGTCTGAACTGCTTGACTTTCCTCCTGGCTTTCTGAACATTTGTTTATTCACTCAAAGAAAATATGTATTGAGCCCTTAATTTTGTGTCAGGCACTGAACTAGATACTGGAAATGTAATAGTGGACAAGCAAATGTGGTAATTACCAATTGACCTGACAGAGCTTATATTTCCATAAGGAAGGGAGACAAGTAAAAAAAAAAAATAATGCAGTTCAGTCTGATTGGCTCCATGCTTGAGAATGTTAGGCTGGAGGAAAGAAAAACAAGGACATGCAAACAGAACAGAGATGCCATAGGGGGAGAACAGACCAGACCCCAAGGTCCGTGCCTTATATGGAAAGGGGACAGCTCTCCCTGAATTCCATCCTGATGTGCCAACTAAGACCCGGATGTCATTCTCCTCCCTCTTGGAAGGAAAAAAGTTTCTAGTTGACTATTATGTCACCTTTAGCCAATCATACCTCTCCACGCCCCCCTAGCTATCGAACGGGTGAGGAGGGGGAGGATTATCCTTATAAGCCCCCGCCTCCCTGACCGGGTGTGACTTCTCTGGCCTCTGGCAGTAAGGCCACACAACCTCACCTGGGGGTATTTAAATAAATTACCTGGCCCTTTGCTGCCTCTCTTTGCCTGCTTATTCCGGCTAGAATTTATCTTACAGAGAAGAGCTAAGGATTGGCCAGGTGAAAGGGGGAAGGGCACATGTTCCAAGTAGGGGTAACAACTCCTGCGGGGCCCAGCCACGAGAGGGAAGCACAGTCCAGGCACTGAGATTCCAGACACAGAGCTGGGGAGGTAGCCAGGGACCAGACCCCAAAGAATGTTACTAGTCGTGTTAAGGGGTTTGGAATTCTTAAAAATACTAGTAAGTTTGAACAGTTTCAGCATGATTAGTTTATATTTTAGATCATGATTCTGGCTACTGTGAGAAAATAGAATTCAAGGGTGACAAGGAAACCAGGTCAAGAGGGAAGGAAACCAGTTAGGCCATCACCATACTAATCCAGGGAAAAGAGGACGGCAGCCTGTATCAGGATATTGCCCGGGTAAATGGGAATGGATCCCCGAGGAAGTCAGGAAGTAGAAGGGGCAGACCTTGATGCCTGAATGGGGAAGGCAGTAGGGAGGAAATCAGGGACAGAGTTCCTCAGACAAGTTCTGATGAAGACAGGGGCTGCCCTATTCGCTGTCATGTATCCACAGCCTAGCACAAGCCCTTAGACATTGTGGATGCTTGATAAATAGTTGAATGACTGAGTTTTCTGGCTTGGGCACCCAGATAAATGGGGTGCCATTCTCTGATTCAGATAACTAGAGGCAGACTCTTTCTGGGAGGTGAGTGGTGATTGCATCTTAGATATGTCAGGCTGCAGGTGCCTGTGGGAGACAAACATGAATATGTCAGATACGTGCCAGTTGGAAGAGATCTGAGGTGCATTCTTTGTATGCTTAAAAAAATTAAAGTTAACATTGAATGGAAATGATCTGTTCTGTGTCTGTCTCCATTAATCCATGGGACTGTTTCTCAGTGACTCGGTTCCCGAGCATCTGCCGCTGCGCCTGGCCCAGACTGAGCCCCAGGCCATGTGTGTTGTTCGACTGAACCGCTCTGCTTCAGACGTGGCGCATCTCACAGGAGAAGTTAGTGTAAGTGGTCGCCTCTGAGGAGGGAAACAGGGTCAGAGTGAAAAGGAGATTTTTTTTTTTTTGCATACACTTTACTTCTTTATGCTTTTGTCCTCCATGTGCTTTTGTTTCCCATGAAAAATAAAAAGATGACCAAAAAGTGTTCGATTCAGTTTGTATGAGCTTTCAACAGAAAACACTTACTCACTCCACCTGTGGTCTGAATGGGACAGAACACGATATCAATGAGAACTGAAATCATGGCCCTTTGACCGCATCCCACTATTGATTGATTTACACATTCAATGGTTGTATCATTGATGTCATTA